TCTTGCCTTGTATCCTTGCTTGGGCTGCGGGGCGGCGTTGGCCACCAAGGGCGCATGGGCCTCCCATCGCTCGAAGTGCCACCCCCACCTTGACCCCGCCCCCAGCTACGTTTCAAGCACTGTGTGCATGGCATGCGGTCTCAACTTCCATACGCATCTAAGATTGCTCAAACACGTTCGGCATGGCTCATCGAAGTGCTTGGCGGACCTTATGGCCGTCATCCCACCGCTGAGCCCCGAACAGGTGATGGCGGCTAAGGCGGAGGACGCGGAGCTAGCACGCACGCTCCGAGAGAGAGGCCACTACGCGGAGTCAGCGCAGCTCCCGCCTGTCCTCACGACTGGACCTAGGCTGAGGGGAGCGGCTGCCCCCAAGGGCCTCCCCACTTGCATGCCGAGAATTTCTTGCCAACCAGTGTGTATCCAGGAAAAGATGCCCACTCAGGCAGAGGTTCATATGCCTGCGGCCCCTGGTACTAAGTACATTGTGATCCTCCGCGCAGCTCCCAGGAGTCAAGGTGACATCCAGGACAGAGCGGAGAAGTCCAGTGCCATAGCGGGCATGCATGTTTTTGTTTTGTCTCTTAATATTCCCGAGCTTTTCCAGAAATCCATTGAGGGATTTCATAAGGAGCTGTTGTTCGTTACTGATCTTATTCTAGCTGGACGTGTTGTTGGTCTCGTGACGGGTTTTTTTTCCTTTCCTCGTGGGACCCCGCCCCCCGCTGCAAAGCCAAGGGTGGTGAATGCAGGCTTTTAAGGAACTGCGATGAGCCATGGGGAATTTCAGCCAGGTCGCCCTCGGAGTGGAAGCAGCTGGAGCTCGCAAGTGCGTGCTTGAGGGCGGCACTGACGCTGGCGCTGTGTGCGGCGTCCTCGGGCCTGGCGACTCTGCTCATTTTAAACCCCCCTTGCTCCGCAAGCCAACCTGCCCTGCATTTGGAAGGTCCCCGAGGTCAGGTTCCTGTGCTCCCTGCAAGCTACGTTTCCGACCACCACGTCGAGATGTGTGCCCACTGGGGACCGTCAGTGCCTGTGCATGAATGCCGTGCCGATCCTGGCCCCTCCTGACAGCAGCCAGGTGGAATTTTACGTAGCTGCTGTTATCACGCAGGCAGCCTCACAACGCTGTGCCCCCACGCCTCCTGGGGATGCATGGCTGGAGGCGTCAGTTGCCCATCTATATGCCCCGCTCGATTTGTATTGCGAGTCGGGTTGATGTTGGTCATTGCTGCTCTCCTCGTCCCCCGCTATACTTGCCGCCTATCTCATCGCTGACGTATGCATGCGTGGACACCTCAGACGTTGGTCCCTCAGGGCTGTGGGAAGAAGAAGGAGGAGGAGGAGGAGGAGGCGGAGCAGGAGGAGGAGGAGGAGGAGGAGGAGGAGAAGGGGGAGGAGGAATCGGCCTCATGCCACCTCTGCTCAGACCGCCGCCCGCCTCGGCGTCGGAGTCCCTCCCCGAGGAGGGCGAAACAACACCTCTGCCTGGGCCTCCGCCCACCTCGGCGTCGGACTCCCTCCCCGAGGAGGGCTGTTCTTGATGGGCCGATGCTCCGCCACCACTACCATGCGCAGCAGAGGGAGGAGAATGAGGAGGAGGAGGAGGAGGAGGAGGAGGAGGAGGAGAAGAGGGAGGAGGATGAGGATGAGGATGAGGATGAGAGAATGATGACAATGATGATGATGATATGATGATGATGATGATGATGATGATGATGATGAGAGGAGGAGGAGGAGGAGGAGGAGGAGAGGGGAGGAGGAGAGGGAGGGAGGAGGGAGGGAGGGAGGGAAGGAGGGAGGGAGGGAGGAGGAGAAGCAGGAGCAGGAGCAGAAGGAGTAGGAGAAGAAGGAAGAGGACCTCCCTATCTTCCCTTCTCCCCCCGTCATACCTATGGTAGTGGTGGTGGGAAATTAGCCCACTATTATTCGCCCTCCTCAGGGGCTCCCTGAGGAGGGCGAACCAGACCTCTGTAGCCACGGCACGCCTTCCTCCAAGCCCGTCCCTCCGCTCCACGGGCGAGGGGTGGCGCCGGGGTGGGGGCCGGCTCATGGGGAACACATGGGCGACGAACAGAAACGGGTCTTCGTGCATCTCGTGGTCGTCCCCACAAGGGTGGCGATGTTTGCGAGAGTGGTTTGGTAGCCTAGACTGCACATGTCCCACCATCGCGTGTGAAGGTTGCCTTTGCTGCTGGCTCGTCGCGCGCTTTGTTTCATAATTTTTGGCTTACACATGTTAGCAGGCACTGAAGTTTCTCCAAAACGAATCTTACGCAATATGGCATAGCGACCTTACGCGGTAGCATGCGCGGGCCGCCAGCGCGGCACGCTGCACTGGAAACGAGGGCGCCTGGGCCCGACCTTACGCGGGCAGCTTACGCGCCAATGTCGGAACATCCGACCCTGTTTGTTTGCGACGCCAACATTCGGGGAGACGTCAGACTCGGGTACGGGGGACGCGGGTTCGCCTGACGGGGCCATCATAAAAAAACGAGACCCAATATGACACTTGACGCGAACTCCCGCTGCAAGCGTCCCACGAAAACCGGACCGTCAAAATCCAGGACGCACTCGTCAAAAAGCGTCAGCAAACCCGAGTTCCGGCTTACTCGAGTCTTACGTTTCCCCGAAACATGGACCTGCAATCGGAGATGCCGTGCCGATAGATCGGCGGTAAGCCCCCGAGTGTACATCCGCAAGTTTCTGGGCGGGGTGGGCTATCGGGCCCCTCCAATGGGCGATCGGGGGTCGATACCCCCAAAAGTTGACCCTGAGCTGGTGGAGGGCCCCCTGGGAGACCGAAAAAACGCGAGAGGCCTCGAAGACCCCGATAGCGAAACCGCACGTTCTCGGGCGGGACGGGCTATCGGGTCTGTATTGGCGATCAGTGGGCGATTGCGGGTCATCTTCGGATCTCTGGGCCGCACCACGGGACCCCTCAACGGGCGAGGGGGGCGAAGGAGGGGTAGGGCGAGGGGGGAGGAGGCGGGGAGGAGGAGGAGGAGGAGGAGGAGGAGGAGGAGGAGGAGGAGGAGGAGGAGGAGGGGTAGAGCGAGGGGATGAGGCGGGGGTGGAAGGGAAGGGAGGAGGATGAGGAAGAGCAGGAGCAGGAGGAGGAGGACGAGGAGGTGGAGGAAGAGGAGGAGGAGGAGCAGGAAGAGGAGGAGGAGGAGTGGAGCAGGGGTGGAGGAGAAGGGAACCGATCCCCTCCACGAGCGACGCCGCCCCCCAGGGGGGGGCCCACTGCCAACCTGCGCGGCAGGGGCTGCGCGGCGGTGGCGTCGCGCCCGACTGCGCAGGGCCGGACGGGGGCGGCTGCAGGCCCGTGCGCCCAGTGCCGGACGGCGACGTGGGCGGCCCGGCGCGCGCGGGGGACCTCCCCGGCGCGGCCCGGCTCCGCTCTCTGGAGGCCCTGCTACTCCTTCTTACTCCGCGTCCTCCTCCTCCTCCTCCTCCTCCTCCTCCTCCTCGTCCTCCTCCTCCATTCCGTTTCCTCATCCCTTTCGCACCCCGAGGCCAGTCGAAGACCGAACTGGGCGTCACGGATTCAGGACACGTCGTTTTCAACATGGGGTTATCGCCTTAGCGCCGCGTGCAATCGTTTTAACAAGATGAAACAGCTTCATGGATTGAGGGAGGCCGGCTCGATTTCAAAATGTGGCTACAGCCTTACCGCCACGCAGAATTGCAGAAATGTCGCTGGTTCTCATGGCTAACATTCCGGAAAAGGTGTTTAGAACCGTGCAGTACTGTCGGGGCGCAACAGCTAAGTTGATTCACGGTGTTGACGTCCCAGGAATGGTGATCTGGTACAATTCATGATCGTCAAGACGCAAATGTTCGGTTCACTCGTGGCGTTAAAGTCATGAGATTGGTGTTTTGGCACGCGTCAAGATTTTCACACGGATGTCCCCAAAGGCGAACTTCCCTCAATGAACATGAACCATGTTATGGGGCCTATGAGGCGAGAGCTTGGGAAGAGGATGGATTTCAAAACCGTTGATGATTCTTGGGATTGCACTGGTCCTGCTCCTGCTCCTGCTCCTGCTCCTGCTCCTGCTCCTGCTCCCGCTCCTGTTCCTCCTCCTCCTCCTCCTCCTCCTCCTCCTCCTCCTCCTCCTCCTCCTCCTCCTCCTCCTCTACAATTACTCAATATGAATACTACTCTCCCTCTTCCCCTGATAACGTCTTGGGTGTAGCCGCCGCCCCCCCCGCGTATTATTTTTTAACACACAGGTTTCCCCGGAGTTGGGTTTTCGCCTGCATTTGTTTCCAAAATGCTGCTCTCGCTGAGGCACCGGCCTCATTTTCGGGCCCCGCTCGTTCCGAATCGTGCTCCCGCTGCAGCGCTGGCCTCATTTCCGCCGGCGCCTGCACGCCCGAGCCGGCGCCCGGGCCGGCGCTCGGGCCGGGTCTGGAGCCGGTTCTGGCCAGCGCCGGAAAATCGAGTTCCGAGGCGGCGCCGAAAAAACTACATTTCAATAATTAAACATTATTTGTTTACGAAAACTGCGGAAAGGCGGAGCCCCTGGATTCCTTTTCTTGAGCCAAACGGTTTCGGCAACCATAATCTCAGCTCGGCACCTGTGAAACCCTGCAGCCCTCCTCGAGGCCGCTGTGCACGCTGGCGGACTCGTCAGCCCACCATCTCAAATTACATCAGTAATTAACAGTGCTAGCCGAAACCCGTTCGGTTCCGACTCATGTAAAGAAACAGCCATGGCAAAGGAAACCTTCATTCACGTGATATCGGCCTCTATAATATCGTTCTCTCTCTCTCTCGCGCGTCACGACCTCGGGAGGTGATCAATCTCCGTCGTATATCTTCTGAACCAGCCAGCATAGCTCAACCCAGACGGTATCTCGTACTGGTTGTCCAGGGTGCGTGCACTCACTGAAACCAAGCTCCCCACTCTCGATTGCCCAACGGCGTATACCGACCGCCAGCCTCATAATGTAGCTTGTTTCTGCTATTGTAGGTCACTGGCCCTTGGACTTCAACTGACCTCATACCTCATCTTCTTGAACTGCACCTCTGCCTCGGGCGAAGCATCTCTCCTGCGTCGCCTCGACGGTGATCGTTCATCTGACTCTGACTTCGAGTCCTGGAGGTTACACCTCGGGTCCCCTTCGGCTCGCACGTGTCGAAATGGCGTGGACCACAACCCAGAGTCACCTTGTGTCTCTAAAGATTGACCCACAACCCTGTCCTGCTTCGCCTTCACCACGAACACGTAGTAACTGAAAACCACTGCCACAATCGTAACCACCAAGTGTGTAACGAAACTCCACCAGTTAAACTCGCTCTTCATGTTCACATTGATTCTAAAACCGTCCTCATAGTAGCAATCGCCTGTCGCCTCTGCTCCCGAAATGGTCGTCATTACCGCCAAAACCTTCGTGAGCACTTCTGGGTCCTTGAAACTCGTCGCCTTGATTGAGATCAACCCCAGCGTCTTCATGTGTCTCCTGAGCGTGTCCTTGTCCATCGGTTTCGTTCCTATATCTGCCACTTGGTCCTTCGTATTGACCTTCACCACCTCCATGTCTCCGTCTCGTACCAGATCTTGATGCCAGATCCACCTAGTCTGTAGATGTCGTACTCGTCCGACTCCGTGTCTGTGGATCATGCCTTTCGCCGCTGCTGAGTCCGTCTCCAACTCCAGAGTGATCTTGACCTCCTCGTTCCTCATCTGCGCCATCTCCTGCAACGCGTGCTCGATGGTAAGACCTCGGGCTGTTCCCGAACCCATCGCGTAGAACTCCGACTCCCCACTTGAGAGCGCCACCGTCGCCTGAGATAGTACCCAGCTCTCCAGTAGATGGGCTCCTAGTCGAACTCCACCTGATGAGATACTCTTGCATGTCGCCTCCTGTCCTGCCCAGTCCGCGTCCACCGACGCCGTTACTTTGAACGTCTCCTGCTGATACGGGTAGAATATCACGATGTCGGCCGTGCCCTTCAAATACCTGACCAGACGCTTCTGCTTGAGTCCGTGCTTCACTCGCGGGTCATTGTACGAACAACTCTGCTCTCGAACTGCTTCCTGAATATCCCAACGATCCCCAGCCATATACTGTGCAATGCAACCGCAACTCCTGTACAACATCGAGCTCTGTCGTCCTACTGGGTCTTCAGCATCCCGAACTCCCTTGGCAGTGTGCTTCGAACTCGGTGTCTCTGCGGGCTTGGCCTGCTTCAGCTCGTACAACTCCACCATCTTCAAGATCAGCTTCGGGTCTGGTAGAATGCCGAAGCCCTCCTCGCCCCAAAGCACCGTTCTGTTGAGAAACGTACCTTCAGCTGCTCCTCCTGGCCCCACTCTCGGTTGAGGCTTGACCTTAAACCTACTGGCCATGAGCTTATCGAACTCATCCAGCTCCTCGTCGTAAGCCTCCACCACAAAATCATCTCCGTGTCCAGCACAGAGCGAGTCCTTGCCAGGATGGTAGTACAAGCAGCACACCGTCTTCAACTCCTCGTACCCGTTCTGTCTGAAGTTATCTCGAACTTCTCCTTGAAATAACATCGACGCCTCTGGCGTCCCATACATCGCCTTCTGCAACTTCCAAAGCATCCCTGGTCGTCGCTGTTCAGGTGGCGGCCAGCAGTACTGGGGCTCCTTCAGCGACGCGTGAAAGAGCGCCACTGAGATGTCATATAGACCAAACTTCTTCCTCCTCGACTCAGTCGTTCTCGTTGAAGCTGCTCTCGAAATCACCAGCTTAACGGCCCATAGTGCGGGTGTCCCTGCGAAATTCGAGGGGTCGGTCCCGTCGCTATACCTTCTGTGAAAACATCGGCTCCTCACGATCCACTCGTGGTTCTGTAAGTCGTACTTCTTGCTGTCGATCCACTTGGTGTCGAACGGCTTCATCCAGTCCTCAAGTGGTACCCACTCAAAGACCTCAAACACCTCCATGCTCTTCATTTCCTTCGTCCTGCCGTTGATGACCAGCTCCTTCAACAAGTCCTCGCCTGTGTACGCGTCTCTGTAGACTCCGTCACCCACCAGTTTGTCATAGTTCACCCTCGGCTCCAACTCCTCGCAGACGTGGCGGTCCTTCTCCATCGTGATCGACATGATGATGCCTATCTCCATCGCCTCTTCCCGTCCTTGCGTAGTAGGTGCCACATCTCCTCCTGCTACGATCGCGTTACCCGTCATCTCTGCGTCTTGCTCGATCTGTAGCTCCTGTCCGAAATGGTGACCAACCGGTGTACCTGGAGCTCGCTGACCTGCTTCCTCAAGTCGTGGTTCTGCTACTCTAGCATTTTCTGGTGGTGTCTGTGCTGCTGGAACTGCCGCTGGTGCTGCTGCAGGTTGCGCTTGTCCTGGTTGATCTCCTGATGCCACCTCGATCCTCGGCTCGGCCTCCTCGAAGATCTTGGCGAACCTCGTCTTGCACCTCGCGTTGTGTATTGCTGAATTCCCTTCGCATGCGGCACGCCCATCTGTAGGTCAATATTCCTCGATCAGCGTCTTCGTGATGTATTTCCGTCTCCTGACCACCTCATTCTGATCCTTCACCTCTAAGCCCCTGGGATTCCACGGCACTCCTATGAACGTGTTGTAGACCTCCTTGTTGTACTTGTCCTCCGTGGCCCTGAGCTTCATCGTTCTGGCGTGCACGATCCCTCTCGACGTGCCTACGATGATCTCGTCGCTCTCGTCGCGCCTGCCCAAGAAGATACCTTCGCCCCACCTAGGTTCCAGCTTGGAGTAGTCCTTTGCCTGGATATTGTAGTCGATCGTCTCTCCGATATTCCCAAGCTCTGACTTGAACTTCGCACGCCCCAGTCGTTCCCAAGCTGTCCTGCCATCCGTCTTGATAGCGAACCTGGCGAGCAAGTACCCCACGTGCCTAACCGACCACGGCATGATCAAACTCTTGGGTCCGATCTTCACATCCAACTTCACTTCCAGCTCGCTGTGAAGTGTACGTAGTAACGACTCCACTCTTTCCACCGCATTCTCAATCGCACCGTTGCTCTGATGAGAACCTTTGGGAGCCTTCTCCACCTGCGTGCTGTGCTTCCTCCGGTTCTTTACCGCCGTGATCACCGCTTGTAGTGATGGCTCCTGGTCGCCCTTCAGGATGATATACGCTGCTCCCCAAACGTCCAAGTAGAACTCCACCGCTGAGTTGGCGTACTCGCAGGGTCCCTTGTGGATAACCATGATGGAAGCAACTGCACCCTCAGGCTTCTGCACCATCACCAGGATGTTGACCATCTCCGTCTCCTGCTCGGTGTTCACGAAGCAGTAGTCCATACTTCTTGCGACCATCTTCCTTGCCTCGGCCCCAAAGACACCACTTGCACCAGTCCCGATACGGCATGTGAGTCTTCTCGTGGATGGCTCTCCTCCGCTGTGGGCTTGTACCTCTCCTTCTTGGCCTTCGGCAGTCGCGCCTCGTCGGTCTCGATCTCTTCCTCCTGCCCCCCCCGCTGCTGAGCTTGTTCAGGTTCATCGCTCTCAAGGGGGCATAGCGTGCTCGCGTCCACGTCGAAGCTGTAGATTCCACGCCTCTTCGAGATCCCCAGGGGTCTGCTTCTCTGATTGTTCGCGTGTTCGTACTCGATTATTTCCTTGATCCGCTGGCTGATCTTCGGATTGACCAATGCTCCACCGCCTTCGTCGAACCATCCCTTGAGCTCCCTTCGTCAGGTCGCTCACCGCAATGATCGTCTTGTGGACGTCTCGTACATCGAACTGTCCTCGAATTGATTGTCGAGTCCCAGCCACCTGCATTTGTACCGTCTTGCAGCCGTTCGAACAAATATTAGTACCATCTGCCTGTCGCAGTGGTGGTGCGTCCGCTTCTTCTCGTGGTATTCTCGGTGCGAAACCAGGTGGGCAAACGCTCCGTGCCGCACATGAATCGACCATCACCTCGATCTTACCGTCGTTGTCATTCTCGAACTCTATTGGAATCAGGTAACTCTCGTCATTCTCGTTGAACTTGTGATTGGGCCCCTCCTTACTCTCTAGATTCACAGTGTATCCGTCTACCTCCGTGCGGTCTACACTCGAACTGTGATCTATCTCCTCAGTCTCGTTCTCCTTCAGCATGAATATGTAGCCCTCCTCGGCGTCGTTATCGTACCCTAAGTACTTCATGTCTTGATATTTGGGCTTGTCGGGCGCAGGTGTGCTCTTCGCATTGTCGCTTTTGTCCTTACCCTTGCCCTTGCCCTTGCTGATCTTTCGCAAGTCATCCTTCGTAATCTTTCCGTCCTTCATGTCCTGCGTGGCCTTCCTGCACTCCATGAGCTTGTGACCTTTCTTGCCGCAGTACTTGCAAGGCTGCGTCGCGCTCTGGTCGTAGCCCTTGCCCTTGTTCTTGTCTTTGCCGTGCCTGCCCTTCGAGTCTTTGCCGAACTTGCCGAATGTGAGCGCATCCAGATCCACAGGCATAGGTCCACTTAGTGCCATCGCCGCCTGCTTCGACCTCAAGTAGTTCAACACCTCAGCTCGTGCCAACGCGTATGTCGTGAACCTCGTAGCGTTCAGCATGAGATGTTCTCGAAGCTTTGTCGGCACTAATCGCGTACTGAGAACAGACTTCTTGATCGACTCCATGACCTTCTCTCCTGTCTGCTCTTCATATCTCTGGACCAACGTATCCCACGATACGATGCCTTTGATCGGGTCGTTCTCCTGCACATGCGGATACAATATCGAGTCTAACATACCTGAGAATCTCGACGGCACCTTCGGCTCGAACTCCAGACACAGTAAACGCCAGGCCTCTAGGCCTTCTCCTGAGGGAACGCTCTTCACGATGCCCTGAGCCTTGTCCTTGCACGTCAGTACAAGGATATAGTACAGGTTGGTGTTGACTCGCTGGGCCTCTTCGTCTAGATCCTCGCGTGCGAAAGCCTCAGCGTCGACCTTCGCCGCATCCCTCATCAACTCCGCCATATGAGGATCCACCGCCATGCAGTAGGCCGCTATGACGAAACTCCAGTTCTCCCACGTGACACCGTCCTTGTACTTCGCATTCTCGTCGAGCTCACCCGAGAACTTGTCTGGTTTTCCGAGCAGCTTCGTGTCAACTAGTGACTCCGCTCTCGGTTGAAATGGTCTGTCGTCTGCTGGTCCTTCTGCTGCTGCTGCTCGTTGATGCGCCTCTCGAAGTTGCTGTTCCAACCTCGCTATCTGATCTCACTGCTGGACTACGACGCCCTCCATGGCCACGATCCTATTCAGAACCTCCTCTGCTGTTGCCATCTTCTTCGCGAGAAACGATAAACTGGGAGCCTGGCCGTGGGCATTCGACCAGGCTCCGCTACCATGCGGAATGGCGGAGCCCCTGGATTCCTTTTCTTGAGCCAAACGGTTTCGGTAACCATAATCTCAGCTCGGCACATGTGAAACCCTGCAAAAACGCTGAATTTTTCCTTCTGGCGCCCGGGAGGCCTCCTCGGCCGATTCCGACGCCCGGGCCGGCGCCCGAGCCGGCGCCCGGGCCGGACGCCCGAGCCGGCGCCCGGGCCGGCGCCCGGGCCGGGTCTGCATGGAGCCGGTTCCGGCCGGCGCCGGAAAATCGAGTTCCGAGGCGGCGCCGAAAAATTGCCATTCCAATGCACATTTTTCGTTTGAAAATGCTGAATTTGTGCTTCTGGCGCCCGGGAAGCCTCCCGGGCCGATTCCGGCGTGCTTCCGCTCGTTCCGAATCGTGTTCCCGCTGCAGCGCGGGCCTCATTTCCGCGCGTCCGCTCGTTTCGACTCATGCTCCCGCTGCGGCGCTGGCGTCATTTCCCGTGCCATGCCACGGCATGCAATGCAATGTTAGGTTTATACTACGCTTCGCGGTGTTCTTCTACGCCATGCCATGCCGTGTTCTACAATGCATCGCGTACATGTTCGAGATCATTGCCCTGCTCGACATCCGAGTGTGCGAGTAGAGAGGGGATCTGCGCCATGGTAATGGATGGGAGGGAGGGGTAGGATGCCAGATATGACGCGAGCGCGCCTAGTTTGTCCTCCTCCCCCCTCCACAATTACTCAATATGAATACTACTCTCCCTCTTCCCCTGATGACGGAATGGGAGTAGCCGACCCCTCCCGCGCACTGTTTTTTACACACAGGTTTCCCCGGAGTTGGGTGTTTGCTTGCATTTATGCTATTTTCGCTGAGGCGCCGGCCTCATTTTCGGGCCCCGCTCGTTCCGAATCGTGCTCCCGCGCGCAGCGCTGGCCTCGTTTCCGCCGGCGCCTGGGCTGCACTCCCGAACCGGCGCCCGGGCCAGCGCTCAGGCCGCCGGCTCCGGAGCCGGTTCCGGCCGCCCCCGGAAAGTGGAGTTCCGAGGCGGCGCCGAAAAAAAACAATTTTAATACACTTGAAAATGCTGAATTTCTGCTTCCCGCGCCCGGGAGGCCTCCTCGGCCGGCGCCGGAAAATCGAGTTCCGAGGCGGCGCCGAAAAAAAGGCCTTTCCAAAACACATTTTTCTTTTGAAAATGCTAAATTTCTGTTTCCGGCGCTCGGGGGGCCTCCCGGGCCGATTCCGACGGCCCGGGCTGGCGCCCGAGCCGGCGCCAGGGCCAGACGCCCGAGCCGGCGCCCGGGCTGGCGCCCGGGCCGGGTCTGGAGCTGGTTCCGGCCGGCGCCGGAAAATCGAGTTCCGAGGCGGCGCCGACTCCTCCTCTCCTCTTCCTGCTCCTCCTGCTCCTCCTCCTCCTCCTCCTCCTCCTCCTTTTCCTTCTCCTCCTCGTCATCCTCCTCTTCCCCTTCATTTTCCTTCTCCTTCTCCTCCTCCTCCTCCTTTTCCTCCTGGTTCTCTCCTCCTCCACCTCCGCCTCCGCCTCTGCCTTCTCATGTTCTTCCTCCTCCCCCTCCTCCGCCGCCGCCGCCTCCTCCTCCTCATCCTCACTAGCTCTGGAGCATAGAGGTGCTACCTCCTTCAACATGCAAACAAAAAGGAAAAGCCCATGACGCGAGGGAGGCGTCGGGCCGCGCCAAAAAAGGGCGCAGGTCCGTCATGGCCCATCAGGGAGGAGCTCGTTCTCCTCCACCGGACGGGAGCGGGCCCGCTCGCGGGCCTGGGTCCCCAGGGTCCGCGCTTCACTTTCCGACAGGCCAAGAAGGGCCAG